GACAGTGACGTTCTGTTCTAGGGAGCAAGTATATTATCGCCTGTATGACCTGCAACCGTTACGTTCTCTTGGGTCTGTACCCAGTCCTGTCGCATCGCAGACCTCAGCAGGCGAAGGATAGGTTATGGACTATGATCCTTTGTAAAACGTCCTGCTGGAAACTATTCTTCTTTTTTGCGTCACACTTCTGAGTTATTGCGTGGAGAAGACGAAGCTGAAAGCGGCCGCCGTCCATATGAGTTTCTATGTTTAGGAAGACGAATAAATGTTCATTTTTTGTAGGTTAGGATATTTTTGTCTCCTTAAAGCTGGCTTCTCTACAGAAATAGGAAAACGCTGCCAATTTAGACCTGTGTCCACAGCAATCGTGTACAATATATTTTGCCGAAATTAAAAAAAAGAGTGGAGTAACACAATGCTTTTCAATGGAATAATTTTGCTACTTGAGAATGTAACGGATAAATTCAGCCACTGGTTCGGCAAAAAACAAACCCTAACAAGTTTCATTTTGTGGCTTATATACGGTCAAGGACAACTTCGGGTCCTTTTATAATTTTCCATGTAAACAAGCTTCAAATTTACACGTGTGAATTAGAATTATGTGGGTTGGCACAAAAAATCCTTGCAAAAGAATATTATTATTATTATTATCGTCCTTACGATCGGTACCACATTCAGCTTGACGAGTTTGGTTAACTGAGAACAGATACATGGTCCGTTTGGTGTAAGTAGTGTACACTAGGTGCGTTAAGTATACTGAATCTGCGACAGCCGTCTGATCGAACGCCTAACACTCTAAAGTTCCAAACATAAACTGCGGAACTTACGTGGTAAGCCACGAACTATTATAATAGCTACTAGCACTACATTATAAGTTGAATTTGGGCATTCCAGTCTCTAAATTTTGATCTCTGCGATAGCAGTATGCATTGAAATGGGCTTAGGCTCCCTGAACATGGCTGCGTTCACCATTTCTCTAAGCAGCTCTTGGAGGGCTTACATTACAATAAACCCTTGCTTGTCTAAGAGACTAGATATAACACTTAACTTTAATAACCGAGGACTGATCAATACATTAAACATCGTATTGAAGTCTGCTAAGATATTGCTTGTAAAGGATACGACTTTCTTTCACGTTACTGCTCTTACTAGTTTCTCGCCAAAGGCCACAATATTTAGTCTTTGGTGCACAGAAATGCATCTCTGTTTCTGTATGGGGACATCTATATGTACGTATCTTTCTTAAGAGTACAATAACGCTAACGTATAGCCGAAGTATGAAATAGGTTAGGTTATTAGGAGCGTTCTTAGCGTAAACGCTAAGACGTGTGTCAGCTTCTTATACTTCGCTTTGAAACACTCCGATCCTATACGGATCATAAGTCGCTACAGATTACGGGAAACGTTATTTAGCACTCCTTTAGACGGCTTCTCTCAGCAGAGCACGAAATGTCTAGACTTGAATTTGCGTGTCGTTAGTTATAGCAAACAAATACGCACTTTAGAGTCTAGGGCTCGTTAAATGGTTCGTTCAATGTTCAGAGCACAAGGCGTTACGGAACCATTTAAACTATATTTTGAGTCTTTCTGTTCCGTTTCAGCGCTTCTTCTAGCTTATACCTTTTGAACATTTTTTTTCAGCCTTCGTATAATGAGATCTCCTGAACTTACTTCCTTACAAAATCCTCTTAATAGAAGAGTGTCGTTTTATAGTTCACTACTCATCATACGGTTCGTTTATCTCTCTGGGCGTTCGTTTTCTTAGTAAGACGTATTCAAATAATTAGATATTAAACTTAAAGCCAGGAACAGGGACAGCCAGGACAAGCAAACAGAAGTACCTTTTACATTTATTGTGAAAACACTCGACGACAATAATTTAGATCAACCGGGCACAGGGACACCCGACGAACTACACTTGACAATGCCGGCAATAGTTAGCATCCCTTTGCCCCTTAAATATGATGTGTGGGCCTTTATTCTGTCATTTATTGATATCGTGCATTATCAAGCCTGTCTGCATGTATTATTAGCTTGTTCAAAAGGTCATTTCCGCGTTTGCTTTTTTATTTTGTTGTGCTACACAGCTTTTGGAAGCTCTCTTCTTTTGGCTTTTCAGTACTTTATGACTGTTCTGCCCACCAAACAAAATGCTACATAGAATTCGGACTTTGCAGCGGGTGCATTTCGCTTCCAAAATATGATACTTTCGATGTTTCCTAAAGTTAAAACCGGATTTATGATAACGAACCGTTACCGAAGTGGAAGAGGACGATTTTGCGGAAAAAAAATGTTTAATTAAAGTATTTAGAATAATAACAAATATCCTTTGGGTCTTTCATCTTTATCGTGATCTTGCATTGGTTTGCTATAAAATTCGACATATATATATATATATTTTTTTTTTTTATTACATTTATTATACAATATATTATTATAATTGTTGAATATTGGTTTTTCGTCTATTACTTTCTGAAAACTTTTCCTGTACGAAGAGGACTTATATAATGAAAGGCTTATTTTTCCAGCACTACAAGAAAAGCAAGCTGACTTATGGAACCGTGGCACGTTCTACTTACGGAGCACCATGATGAGGCTTTTAAGCTTTTACTAGAAATAATGTTACTTCAGTTTACCGAAAACCATTTGCTTTGTATCTGGCTGTTCCACGAGAGAGTATGCCAACATATTGCGCCTAGCCAACCGCATATTTTATTCAATTCGAGTTTTCGACCCGGATCTATTTATTATTTACATTTGGTTTGAGTTTTTGCTTTTAGATCTATACAGCGTGTTTCCTGCCGCTACTTATCATTTTGTACCATCTGTTTCTCCATGGAGTACCTGTCACCTTGCCTACATGTCCTTCCTGCCTTCGGCACTGTACGTGTTGAAGCTGCACATTTTGAACTTTGCTTATAGGTAACTTACACTCTATGATTCTGCACGCGAGCATGTTTTTACGCGCCTGCTCTGAAGAGAACTATCGACGTGCTCGATTACTTACTGAATCCCGTTGTGCGTCGGTTCATTATTTCCTGGCCAATATGAAATCCTGCTACTTTTTACAAATGGCAGTTGCACCCACAGTGGTGGTTAAAGTCGAGAGGCGTTTTTCTTGTTCTCTCTCTCCTCGTTTTTAAAAGAAAATCCTATGGTTATCGGTTGACAAGCTCCTTTTACAGAATAACTTAGCCATTTATGGCCACACGTAATTTGTGTTTTAGAGATGTTCATTAATTTTTTTTTTGTTTGTTGAACATCCAAGCTGTCGTTCACGTCGCATTCATCGGCCGTTCACGTCCTCATTACAACCCCGGGTCTCCTAAAAGATCGTTTCGGGTTATATTTTATAATGTTTAATTCCTCGCGGAATTATCAGGTAATACTGTGTCTCTACCTTCATCTTTTTTTAGTTGAATTAAATTTATATAAATTAACGCTAACTTATTCATCGATTTTACGCAACATTTGGATTCCAATACAAATGTGATTAAATAAAAAAGAACCGAAACAAAGCTTGATGATAATGACCTATACCATAGCATACTAGTATTCAGAGTTACCTAGAGTTTTCTCGTACAAAACATCGGCTCCGGCACTTTTTCCAACTATTCTTGTTTACCCATCCGTTATATCTATGCTGGTCTTTCTATGCAGCAGAGAACACGAATCAGACTGCTTCAAACATCCCACTTACTCGTGCTATATAGTTTATTGTTACACAATAGTTGTTCTAACTGGTACGCGTTTCTGGATTAGTATAGCGAAACCAAGCCGGGCAAAATGCAGATACGCCGCACGACCCTACCAAGAGCCATGCCTATAACACAAGCTTACATCGAGGTCACCTGAAATTCGTTGGATTTTTCCCCAGTATATAGCTACTGTACAGAGCCTACTGCTATCAAAAGGTCTCCTATTTTAGGCGCAACACGTTCCCCTGTAAACTTGATTTTTTAATCATGTTTTATGTAGCCATATATTTTTCGAACTATATTTACCGTAAAATTATTATTTTTCAGCTATTACTCACACGTCGAATAGGCATGGTTTCCTTCTAACTTTTTGCTACATCCTAGGTGTGTGTATTTCAATATCCTTTAAAGTATCGAACATTGTCAGCACTTGAGAGTTCTACTTTCGTTCAAGAATTTCCTGTAGGTTTCATGCAAATCCCTGTAGCATACATGCGATCACAAGCTAACAACGTAGGTATTAAAAATATAATTGTTCGGTAAAATTAAAAAAAAAATACTAACAATAGTTAAAATATTTAGATATTGGCTTGTCTTTGTTTTTGCTGAAGCTTAGAAAGAGCTATCGAAGGCTACCACAACAAAAGCTGTAACAATGAAACATCGACCGAAAATAGCAGAAACTCATATATTACTAGGGAACTGTTATCGCTGGCAAAAAATAAATTTAAAAATTCGTTACTTAACACTGTAAAATACGTTGAGCGGGACTAATTTCAAGGTCGAAACAAAGTTTGTGCCGAGATCTGAAAAATGTTCCCTAACAGGCTTAGGACACATGCTATTGCGGCAATAGAAGGTCCTCCTCGAAGTTTAGTTATTCCTGGACGCCTTCCTCGTAAATCCTACCGATATCAAGATAAGCACAGGTAATAAACTATAAGTTATCAGTAAATACATTTATCGTTTTTTCTATTTTGTACGTACACAGCTATTTTTCATCATCGGCTTGATGGCTTTGCTATATTCATCCAGCGCAATATTCATCATTTGTCTTCGTATTAAATCTACTTTCTTGTTATTACGTTTTCCTTTTTTTCCCGGCCTTTTTCGGGTCTTTCTTGGGCCGACTCATTATTTTGATCGAACCCCTTTAATTTTTTTGTCCTACCAAACGCAGATCAGTTTATATATATTTTCTGGTGTGTTATTACAGCTGTAGCCGCTGCCTTCTTCTGTTGAGAACGAAAATTAGACACATGTCAAATCATTAATTTTTGGCATTATATAATTTTTACTGATAGAGTAGAGCAGGTGGTTTTTAACGAAATTTATAACGATAAAACGACAAAGCGTGATTCATCAAGCGGATAGCACGAAGCAAGGGACAAAATTGCTGAAAGACAAGCAAGTAAGTTGCATTTCCTTTCATATGGAATAGAGGAATTCATATGGTCACTGGGGCTGAGCGTCGTTTTGACGCATGGGCCAGGTTAGATATCGCGATGATCCTACATATTTAAGAAGAGTTGGGCAGTAAGTAGTAAGGATATTCGGAGTGTCATTCAGTATATTGGTAATGAAAATTTGATTCTATGCTGAATATAATGTAAAGATAACATCCGGTATCTTTGATGTTAGCCATTGCAAAAAGTTATCTATCTTAGGTGCAATTTCACGTTTGAGAATCGTTCATGGATATCAAATATAAATTATGCAGATTTTTTTTTTTAACTGTCTTATAACAACTAGTCTTCCCAATGTTGTAAACAAATACTTTGCTGCACAATTTACCATTTCTGTTTTCCTTTTTTTTTTTTTTACTGTTTTACATTTAAACTTTGAAAATTTTTTTCTTTTTATTTAAGCCATTACATTTATGGTTTATCGCGGAATTTTTAATCAGATCGGTTATTGTAGTGTATGCATGTGGGAAATTATAAATCAGTTGTCTAATTATGTGCATGATACACAGAACACAATCGGGCGCTCGAGTTCGAAAAGCTCGCTCACTTAAAAGGAGCTCTAGGCGGCGCTAAAATTGACCGAACTCGTAGCTTATTTAGTCAACTTTAGAGAGTGGTATGGGGCCCTTAAGATGGATGAATAAAAAAAATCACCGTACATACAAAAAAAAAAAGTCCCCACAAGTTACTATGAAAGCTTTAGTTCTGATAAGTAATCTGTGGTATCGGCAGCGTTCAACTTCAAATAAAACATTTGATTCTACAAATGATAAAATCCCATTATGTGTAAGATGCCTAATTGTTAAAACTGTAAAGCAGTTGACCATAACTTGGGCAGGGCACAAAACTTGCGTGTGTGTACCCCCGAAGGATGTTTCATAAGGTCAAAAGAATGATAGCTTATTCCTGATTATTATTACTTACTGTTATTTTCGTTTGTATTTTATTTCAGAAGTATGGCACCTATATACGCAATGGGTATCGATCTCGGTACCACCTACTCGTGCGTAGGAGTTTTTCAAAATGGCAAAGTCGAAATTATTGCTAATGACCATGGTCTACGGACCACTCCCTCAGTCGTTGCTTTTACAGAAACAGAGCGCTTTATTGGAGATCCAGCTAAGTCGCAAGCGTCAATTAATCCAAGAAATACCGTATTTGACGCTAAGAGACTAATTGGGCGTCGCTTCGATAGCAAAGAGGTTCAGGAAGATATTAAGCATTGGCCATTCGAAGTTATCAATGAAAACGATAAACCTAAGATACAGGTAACCTTCAAAAATAAACTCAGAACATTTGCTCCTGAGGAGATTTCTGCGATGGTGCTAAGTAAAATGAAGGAAATCGCTGAGACTTACCTTGGTGTAAAGGTGGTCCATGCCGTTATAACCGTACCAGCTTATTTCAACGACTCCCAAAGGCAGGCAACAAAGGATGCGGGCTCGATTGCTGGATTAAATGTTTTACGCATCATTAATGAGCCAACCGCTGCCGCAATTGCATATGGATTGGACAAGAAGCTCAAAGGGGATCAGAATGTTCTTATTTTTGATTTAGGAGGAGGAACGTTCGACGTATCAATCTTATCTGTTGGCGATGGGTCTATGTTCGAGGTCAAAGCTACTTCGGGAAACACGCATCTTGGAGGAGAAGACTTCGACAACCGAATGGTTAAGTTTTTTATAGATGATTTCAAGTTAAAAACAAAGAAAGACTTGTCAACAAACCCCCGAGCTATGAAACGGCTTCGAACAGCATGCGAGGCAGCGAAAAGAGCATTGAGCTCGTGCACCGAAACAACAATAGATCTCGATGCACTTCATGAAGGAATTGACCTGTTTGCTAGAATTACGCGAGCACGCTTTGAAACGCTTTGTCTAGATTTGTTCAAAGCCACTTTAGAACCAGTAGAAAGAGCATTGCGCGATGCGAAATTACAGAAAAAGGATATTCACGAAATTGTAATGGTCGGTGGGTCTACTCGAATTCCGAAAGTTCAGTCGTTGCTGAAAGAGTTCTTCGATAACCGTGAATTGGATATGTCGATTAATCCTGACGAGGCGGTAGCGTACGGCGCTGCGGTGCAGGCCGCTATCCTTTCTGGGCAAAAGGACCGCGCAATTAATGATGTTCTTCTTGTAGACGTCACGCCTTTGTCACTAGGTATTGAAACTGCTGGCGGAATAATGGGCGTAATCCTTCCACGCAATACGAGCATACCCTGCAAAATTACAGAATGCTTTTCCACATACGAGGACAATCAAACAGGTTAGATTTGTATTAGTAACTTTTAAAGTTACATAACTCAAACCTAGTAAGTATTGGTCGCAAAATGACTAGCCGAAAGCACAATACTGGACATGCGTATACATATATAAGGGCACGCGACGCGAATGAAAAAGTCGGATCGACTTTTTTTATTGTGCGAATCGTCCATATTGTTTTCACTATTGAAGCACTTGGATTACAGCTCCCCAAAGCACCAGGTAATCTGAGCAGACACGTTTAGGTATTAGGAATGCCTTTTTCCGGATGTATATATACATTATGGATGCCTGCAGGGTCAATGGTAATAGGTATTTTCTATCGAGACTGCTGCAGTGCGGCTAACGATACAGAAACATAGAGCTGGAGCTTGAGTTGGTCCTCTTCTGTGGTGAAACATTCGCAGCGCAAGGCCATTGGACGCCTGACGCCTGCCTTTGATGAAGCAGGCGTCAGGCCTTGTGTTTTTTTTCGGTTACCGTTTTTTAAGAACTGGCGGATTTGCACAAAAGGTTTCTTGCGCCAACTATATACTTACTTGTGTCTCAAACAGATTTGCACAAATTTATGGTTATAGAATGGTCGATATAGATACATATCTGTTTGGAATGTATACGGAACCTTTTTGAGGACATGCCTTTGGTTGTAGCGTAGGCTGGAAAATGTCGCTTTTGAAGGCAACATGCAATAGGTGGTTCCGCCTGATATTCAATAAGAAAATTATTCACGCAGCTGCGACACCCTCGTTCCACTGTAAAAACAAATTAGTGCAACGCTGACAATCAGAGCTAGGCGTAATTAAGGCGTATGCGGGGTTCAAATCGTATTTAAGACGCAGGTATTTTTTTAACGTACAATAGAAAGTTGACCTCCTCAGTATTTAATCCACCCACGTTGACCTATTACTTAATTTCTCACACAGGTGTGACCGTCATGGTCTACGAGGGTGAGCGCGCTCTGACCAAAGAAAACCATTTGTTAGGTTGCTTCAACCTGAAAGGCATTCCACCTGCTCCACGAGGTGTTCCCAAAATTTCCGTTTGCTTTGAAGTGGATGCTAATGGCATCCTTCAGGTGTCCGCCTACGATGCCTCATCCGGGAAGAAAGCGTCGATTCGCATTACCAACGACAAAGGTAAGTTGGATTTAAACTGTCGTCAACTTATACTTCAGTACAACTTTTTTTGTTGTTTTAAGAATATATTTCTAGAACACTTGTTAGTATTTTTGGTAATAAAGTGCTCCTGTTTTCTTTTTAGCACTGCCTTGATCAGAGTACAATTTTTAGTAGGAGCTGCCAAAATAAGGAGATCTAAGTATTAATTGAAGCTTTTATAATATCCCTAATTGCTATATTAAACTATTATCAGTGTACATCACACTGAAATGACGCAACGGGGTTGACCCCGCCGTCATAATCCTTCGACCTTTTGTCAGAGGCGATATTTGTGATTACTGCAGCTTGGCATATATGGAATGGTAGTAGCAGAAGTTTCTGTAGCAAAATTACACACGAAAAATAACACTGAATTCGCCAGTGACCTCGAGGTCCATGCAGAAATACACACTCCGGCGTCAAAGAGTTGTTTCAACCGGTTTAACGGTCAGGCATCGCGAGTTGTCACGACGCCTTGTTAATCTGAGCATAATACGCAGAAGTGCCTCATTCTTTTTTTATTGATTTTTAAATGAAGGCCCGTCCAGTGGACCCAGGTTCTCGCACCCGTTAATTATTAAGTTTCAGGTGTCAGATTGGAGCTTTAGGGGTATAGTTGGGGTACTTCTTGGGGGCCAGGTGTTAGAAGGTATAAGTAGAAGAGGTAACGACATTACGCTTACACTGTACCAAGTTAAGAGAACACCTCTCGTTTAGTACATTGCGGAGCATGAAGTATTTGACCTATTACCCACTTTCGTAAAAACCAACGCTTTGAGCAATGTCAAGGATGTTTTTCAGGACAGTTTATTATCCAATAATTTGAGTTTATTAACATTTACTGTGTTAAATATCGATATGCTGCGTGGACAGCGAGTAAAAATGAACGCGTTGGTTACGCTTTGAAATATTGATAGGAAAAAGAGGCTGAATTTCTATAGGTAGGTGGTGCTATGTAGAGCCTTTGCCAATTTTTGCAGCATATAGGGCTCTTATAATTGTTCTCAAGTTGTTTTTCTACACATTTGGTTTTCCGTTCAATTTTATTATTGCACTCGTTTTGTCCTAACATTTAGTCATACATTTTGTCGGTGCCTTCCCGAAAACTTCACGGTGATATTTACGATTTGCTTTATCGTATTGGTTTTAAACATCGAAGCTATTAAAACTCTGTATTATGAACCAGATTGAATGGAAGCTGGAGGCAGTAGAAAGATTTTTCTACATTCCTACTATAAGATTTACCTGATCGATTTAACAGCGCAATTGTGCTTTTAGTAGCCGCGGGCAAAAGCTTGTTTGTTTGGTCTAGTAAGATGTACATTGTCTGTACTTAGGCCGCTTAACAAAGGAGGAGATTGACAGGATGCTGAAGGAAGCCGATATGTTCAAGGAAGAGGACGGTAAAATCAGAGCGCGCATGGAATCACGTCATCGGCTCGAAACCTACGTTTACGCTGCCCGTGACGCCATAAACGATAGCGGAAATAAACTGACTTCTGAGGAAAAGGTTGGTGTTCTACGTAATCGGCAATTTGTGGAAAAATATCCGGCTGGAGGGCGCGTGTTTTAGCCGTGTCTCGTGCTACAAGAACGCCTCTAAACTATTTATTGGGTTAAGTACTTCAGACTCTACGAAAAGCTAAAACTTTCTCAAGTTTTCGTGCTCATTATTTTTTCAAAAACATGCCATTTTTAAGCAAACAAATTACTTGAATTAGTCTCTCTAAACTTGATCACTACCAATATTAGTAATCTATTATCATTGACTATATTAAATGTCAAGTTATTTTTTTATATTTTATTTTTATATTTAATATATTGGAACACTGTGTTGACAGCAACCGAGCTAGGTTCTTGGGCTGTTACATCCGAATCTAACACTGAAATGGAATAATTACCGCACTTCTAGCAGACGAAAGTAGGGCGGTAAGTAACGCCAAAGGCGGAGCTCTGTTGGCAAAGACTGAACACAGTTAGCGTACTGCGGAATTTATCAAACTGAAATTAGATTAAAATGAATCCCTCATGAAGTGACTCCTGCTTAGAGCGTACGGTCGCCGTCGCCGTTAGGTTAGACGACGTGCTTTAATTTCTACGGCTAATTGGAGAAAGACCAGGTGGAAGGATGGCGTCGTTCTGTAGGGTAATCGCAGTAGGTTCGAACATAAGTTACATACGACTAACGTTGACTTTAACCTGCTCATTCTCGCATTAAGTCCGCCACGGAGCTTTCCCATGTCCTCAAAAAACCCTCTCATCGGCATGCGCGCATTTCACTATGAGTCATCTCGAGAAAAGTCGAAGGGTAAATTATATATTATAAGAAAGCGAATCTTCAGTAACTGCCAGAGCGTATGTGTGCACAGACAGATCTTCATTCTAGCCCAACTTGAACAACAACATGATACATATGTGCACTTCATCGCCCAATCTTGACTCGCAGAACATCACTTTGCTGCATTGCAATGGAGTATAGGATGATTCCTTAGTTCATGACGTCGCTACGAGTATCCGTTCTCTAGCTGTAAGTCTAGTGATTAAGTTTTTTTTTTTCGGTATTCCAGGAAAAAGCGAACGATAAAATTCAAGAAATGGTCGCTTGGCTCGAGAAAAATTCAAATGCGCCAAAAGATGAACTTGAGGAGAAGTTTGCCGGCCTAGAGGGTTTGTGCAAACCACTTATGATTAAAATGCACAGCCGCGGGGGCTTCGACCCACCTATTTCGGAAAACTCGTAATAGTAAATGCTACAAATTCTCTTTGAATAACAAATTAAAATAAAACATATGGCGCGAAATTGGGTAACGTGAATATAAATTGGCTCCACAGACCATCAAGAAGAGCGTCAATAAAGTTCATGAATTTCTTAATTACTTAGATATATCTTTGTGCGTTCTTAGTACAGCAGGTTTATATACAATACATCGTTTTTAATGGAGGTATCTAACTAGTCCAATTAGACTTGATCGTTTTAGATAATTGGCTTCGGGTGTCGGGTCGTCAAAGGGGTAACTTGAACCAAACACTGAACGTTGATGAATTGACTTAATAACAATGGCATTATATAGACAACTAAAACTATAAAACGACAGTGTATTGTACTTCTATAGCTATATTATTTTGGGTGTTCTAGGCCAATAAAATGTTGTATAAACCTAATTCACTATAACAGTCGTACATAATGTAGTTTCCCCATTCCCCATATCTATTAGATCTTAGTGATAATTTTATCTAGCGATAATTTTATCTAGCGTTGTTTTACAATCTGTCATGGTCTAGATGTAGACACTTCATAAATGAACTTTATTTTGTAGCAGACATAATTTTTCTTATGGCTGACATTAGCTGCTACTATTCATATATCGAATCACCTCGGACCATAGGACATTACAACGCGGGTGGTCTAGGGGAGTGCCGAGGGCATAACTAACCCCACCTCAGCCCTTTGCACGAACCTGCGAAAAGCAAACCTGCATTGCGGGGTGTAAGCTATGATGTGGAGTGCTATATGGCATGTTAGTTTCCATCGGTCTGTTGCATCGGTAAGTTATGGACCTACAATGCCCGTGCACTTTGTGCACGAGGAGGCGTGCAAGACGCCTTGTTTATTGCAATGGTTACAGCCGCCCGAACCACCCACGTTTTAGTGCTGTGGTTACAGTCACCCAGCTATCGCGAAAATGTTGTTTTATGCGTGCTAGTTGGTTCTTTTTGCACACGGTTACGCTTACTGCGACCGCCGTATTAAGTGGAATAAGAAACCAAGGAAAATGTTTACACGAAAAATCCTTTTGGCCTTCAGTGCGTACTTCGTCCAAGCTACGAATAGGCTAAAGCAATGTACGGAGCGCGTAAACGCAGGTGGCTACCAACTAAGCTATCTCGCTCGGTATAACAGATATATAAATCATCGATAAAATAAATGGCAAACGGAAAGTTTCATAAGATAAAATAAATGGCAAACGGAAAGTTTCATAAATTTCATAAACATGGGCATGCACTTTGACTATACCGTTATCCTAGACCTCGGTATCCTAGTTGAAATCCTGCGGGCTATTTGTATGGTTTTATGCTTCGGTAGAGCAGTCGGGGCTTTATCGAAGATTCTTATTCATTCAAAATTGCACGGTTCTTCTACGATTTTATTACCCTATATTGCCGTACCGTAACGTGAAGGATACGTTGGAAATTATTCCACGTCAAAGTAATGTCAACGAATGGAACGAGCTAAGAAATAAGAGCACGACTGCGAATCAGACATTTATTCACATGTGATAATATATGCGTACGTGCACATAGTATCGTAATACTATAATTTTCGTTCGTTCTTTTTTCGTCTGCCTAATCTGTACAGATAGTATACAGCGGCAGTGCGTATGTACACATGGCCAGCTTAAACCAGTTACACGAGTTCTTGTACAGGTCATCTTGTTGTGACTTTGATGAAAACTGCCACTGAAAAACACAACGGCTGCGGAAAGATAATGTATCTCCTATCCATTTAATAGATGTTACTTAGGGGTGTATGTTTTTTCGATGATTACCTGTTTGTTTAGGTCTTAACATACAGATGACTTCTTGAATTGGTACGCGGTACCTTGGGGTCGTCAGCCAAATTTCTGTGTCGTTGGACGTTCCCATGCAAACAACAAACGGTCAGCGATTGCAGATTTGTGGAACAACACACACACACACGCACACACACACGCACACACACACACACACACACACACACACACACACACACACACACACAGTACATTTGGGATCATCCAAACATATTCTGTGTCAGAGCCGCAGTGTCTTTTTTTTGTGTGAGAAAACTGTTAGACAATCACTTGGCGTCAGTACTGCTGTACATGGCCTATTCATGTCGGAAGTTAGGAAGCCGTATATAGGGGTCGGGGCGCGCGGTTCTTAGGCATAACAGTTGACGAAAAGGGTTCGGTTCTCCGATATTTTGGCAGAGACGACCCATCTGATGGGACGCTTTTACAGGGCTGATTCTGCTTAGTTGAAAGCTGTTAAATAACGGACGCGGTCGATATAGACGGGGTATCCAAGCGGTGGGTCTGCTGCTTGAATTGCAAGATTACGCAATAGCCACGGATGAGCCTGAATTGAATAACGTTCATCGTCATCATTAGTTATGTACAATAACTCAAGAGAAAGTGTAGCCCAGATGGCATCTACTGTCGGCCCGCTTAGCGTGCCCACGTAAACGGGCTCGTCAAGTATCAGGCTCAGTAAGTGACTGGTGTATACGTCATCGCTAGCATCGTGAGCGATAGAAAACATGTAAGGGATCTCGTCGGTAACGCATTTGTTCCACTGAGCGGATCCTTCGATCCCTATGAACCAGCGAGCATCGTAATCTCTAAGTATGCGAGCGAGTTCTGTCTCTGTTTCAGCTTCGCCAATAATGACTGTGTCAACAGCCAGCTTCGTAGTGTATTGGACAGCTTGTCGGACCAGCTCGTGTAGATCGAGCGGTAGCTCCTTCGCGTACTTGCCATTAAATGCTTGGTGGATTATGCTGGGACTAAGTGGACCATCAGGAAATACTGCCCGATAACAGAAATCGCACACTTGACGGTAATCGACGCACAACGATGGTTCCTCTGCGACAGCCATGACAATGTCAGGAAACGAACGACGAATCTGAAATTAAAGTAAGCAAGCAAGCATCCTGTAAAAATATTCGTTGCAAGATTTCCTGGGAGCAAAACACCACAAGCTTGAGTCAAGGCCGGAGTTGGCATTTTATTTATTACTGAGTTTATGTATATATATATATATATATGGCGGATTTCATTATGTCAAAGATATTAACAATAATACGACGACTTGATTTTTTCGTGGCACATTGTGCATGATTCGAATAGCCCGCTATTGGCTGTTCAGCTTTTTCGAAAGGTAATAGCCTCAAATAGCGACACTACCGCTCTACCATACAATTTGACGAAACAATCAACAGCCACCGCATGAACGCCATACTATTTTGACAGAAGGGTGTGTGTTGTCACTTGAAAATGAGCTAGGCACGAAATTATTCACTAGTCGATCACAATTCAACGAGGTAGTAATTAGTTAAAGCGCTGCTCAGCATGTTCCAGGAAAATGGTCAGATTGGCACTACCACTGCTTGTGTAGTACCAGCCTTATCACACACCCATAGAGACGTAGGGGACCTTGGGTCCACGAAACTGCCGGGGTGTCTTTGCCTACATCTGCTCGACCGTCGTAGACGACAGTTGAATTGTACCACAATACCATAGAACTTTTTTGCATCGAACTTGAGGAAAGTCCCCTTTCTACAGTGTTTTAGAAACTAGCAAAAACAGTTTTGTTGCATCAGAAAGAAATTAAGACTGTCGATAATGAAGCTGAATGCCATATCGCCATAGCCGACGAAACAATTAAACACAACATAGGAATTGCTTTTGAAGACGATGATGTAATTAAAGACTGCATGGCCTAGGTCCGGTGCCTGTTTTTGCAACCATGTCATTTGGGCAGGCTACTCTCAGCAGCAGCTGCTGGCAAGAAGCAACCTTGAACCTTAACAGTTAGCCAGTAGTAGCGGCCACGCTAATCGTTTGCCAAGCCGCTGCGCTTACTCCAGATACAGTATAAAGGCCGTTTAGCGGTGTAGGACTTAGTTACCAGTGGTAGAAGCGACAATTCAACAACGAGACGAACTACCGCAGTTCGCAAGGATTGCTATCTCGTCATGCTATAGAAATATTTGTGTGGTTCTCCTTCAAATCAGATTCGAAATCTAGGACCAAATTAGGCACAAGCGATGCTAATGACGGTGGTGTTATATAGCTTCTGGTGAATCAGAACGATGTTGAACGTAAAAATTTTGACTCGCCCATGAACTATTATCAAAATTGCAATTGTCACGTCATATTAAAATCCTTTTTAGGTTGTTAAACCTCACGCAAGGGGCAATTGTGTCAAAGAAAAATCTGTCCCAGTTAAAGCTTACATTCGAAGTTGCTATAAGGCACATTGTACCCGAGCGCCGAATAAGAAGATAGCGTACGATATAATCGGCTGACTGCCCCAATTGCATCATGGGGCCACCTGGTAAAAGCATTAGGCGCCTCAGCTGTCTGCGTTACTCACCATGTTGAAGGGCTGTCAGTGTATTTTCAACGGTACATCCACCGCAAGAACTGGGTATCGCTTTTATGTGAAGGACCGAGTTATTGTAGTGCGTATCTGCCAGCTTAGCAACAGCTGTTACAGTAGCAACGTCAATGTTCCAATAGTTGCGGATTTCGTCAGTCAATGGGGCATATACCACGAAGTTCGCATCAAACACCTGTGGCGGCGCAACATCGGCCTTCGATAGCTAACAGTTGTCCACAGCAATGTGCGGTTCCGGAAGAGAAGAACCGGCCCATGCGTGTTTCAGCCGGTGGCATGTCTAGGGCAAAACGTGCATAGGGAGTCATAAAATGTACCCATACCACGTGTGTGTGAGCCGCAAGCACTACATCGCTATGCATTTTGTATGCGTTGCAGCCTACTACGGTATGTCACAAGTGAAGTAATCCATCCTGCCTCGTTAAACGTCGATTCTATTGCTCTCCCACAACGCATGCTGAAGCACTCCTTTAGCGTCAACCAGGTTCCTGCGCCAAATTTTGATCTTATCTGGTGAAATTGCTTATGAACCTTTGGCAATAGCAGCGGGCATCACGTGCGCATACATGATACTTATTTCAGCCAGGTACGACTGATCGCTATTCAGGTTCATATAGCAAGGGCCAAGTGATAATGGTTAGACGACTCGTTATATCATGATGATAGGTTATGCAATTTTACTACGACAAAAAAAGGCTATCGAGTTAATCGATAAGGCAACAGTATCGTGCTAATTCGGCTGTTTTCAATCGTACGGGTTGGATAAGGCCATATACTTTCCGCAGCAAGCGGTTAATCCAATATGTAAACGTAGTTCCTTCATAGAAACCGGTTTGTCTTTGGATCGTTAGTCGAAATATTCGAAAATTGGCGGCTAAAAGTTCAACGTTTGCGAACACACTGCAAACTGTCATTACCGTTCTCATCGGGTGCCAATTAAACGCTACCTTTATCTGTTAGGCGACGCCTCACACGACGGTTCATACCGTAGTCGCCTCTATCAAGTCGATCTCTACAGGCGGCAGTGGGTGGCTATGCGCTCATTATATCTGAATAGTAACTTGGATTGCGCAAAGCAGTCACGATCCCGTGTGACACCCATCGCGCCTGTATTAGCTGTTCGTTTAGGGTCACTGTAAGACTCTGAATCGTAAGGAATGAACCGTGCGTATCATTGTACTGAAAATTCAGCTTTGTTTATTGCTGGAGGGAAAGTACTGCTTTTTGAAACCGCAAAACATATGGTGTGAGCAACAGACCTCAGCAACAAAGTATCGAGGTTTGATCCGCGCTAGTTATTCTCGAAAGATAGACCACGTAACATATTAGAGCCTGCTGAAGTGTCACCACTCAAACGAACCTCGAATTGTTATTACACGTGTCGTTAAAACCCCACCCGTTATCTACCTTATAAAATATATGTTCGAAACACGCTCTTCGGGTCATATGTATGGCTATCAGGTTAACATCTGACTGCCGCTACCAACGGAAACCAGCCCCCCCGATTTATATCAGTACTTTTCATATCAGTATCATCAGTATACCATATCAGTATATATCAGTATCTATTGAGTCAAAAAAGTACGTAATAAAATAGACGCACGCCAGTATCTTGCGGAATATATATCAACACTTAAAAATTGTCTGGTAGAATACCTAGCGGCGCTACCGGAGGTAAAACTCGAAGCATTTGGGTTACTCAAAAATGGTGAGCTAACAGCCGCTTGCACACTATTTATAAACGGGAATTGTTTGTTAAGGGTAAAGACAGCACTATCGAGAAGTTCCCAGTGTAGTTTTGATGGGACCAAGCGAGTCATAACACCGCGTTCGCTAGACTTGTCGTAATACGTGATATTGTCTGCGTTTAGTAATCGCAGTCTCCTCGCAGTGCCATGAAGTACATGGTAGTTCTGCTGACAAGAGTTACGCTCTACTGCCATGTTGATTCGACTCGTTTTAACGGAAGTGGATTTTTGCGGCCCGTTCCATATTCACCGTGAAGACAACGCGATGAAAACTTCGCGCTTCTTGTGTGCGCCAGTACTCACGCAATGCATTCAAAGATGGTGCCGGCAATGTCGACACTTCACGTTTATCTCGCCCTCTGCCGCTTTCTATCAACGCATCCAGGCTGTAGGCGCCTTAGATCTGACAACGTTCGCTCGTTCGTCACGGCTGGCAGCTGTATAAAACGTCCTTTTCATTCGATCCGCGATCCTTGGCCCAGCCTTAAACACAATGGTCGCTCAGTTGTCCTAGGAGTGTTTGGCACAAAGGGAATTTCGAGGGGCTCTTTTAAATTGGTAATGTTCTTAAAAACGCAGATGTCTTGCCACCTTCGAGGAATTTCATGCCAGCATCAGCGATATCGTTGCCGCTGTCGACGATTGGCCATCCCTTTGCCGGGAACTTGAATGCACCGCAGGCTTTTATAGACGCGCAACTCTCGCATGATGATTCTGTAGAACCTGCTCTTGCCGCGACGACGCCATTGGACGGTCTCGATGGGAAAGTATCGACAAAACCGATGTCATTGAGCTTCGTTCAGCTCTTTTCCTACGCACAAGTTACTTCAAGCACCTCTCTATACACTGGCGTCGTGAGTGTCTTTTACAGCTATGATTGGCGAATTTAGACTGAAAGAAGCGACCCAAGATAATCGGTGTCTCACTCGGCAATTTCGGTAAAGAGTAAAGGGTCACTAACGCTCCTGGACGCAATTCGGCGGAAGACCACAGACACCGTTTGAACACTGCGTGCATGGCGGACCTCGACATAAGAGCGCGTGTTTACACCCAAAGATGGCATGGAACTATCCATCAGCCGATCACAGTCCTATGCTGCTACGATGTAACTGAACCCAGAGAATTGTCACTATACATGTAATAGTAATATGTTTCTACAGGGTGCACAAGGTGCAGCTTCTAGAAATAAAATACATTAAATATGAGAATTTGGCAGTTCCTTCACACATTTGTAAATATTTAGGGCATACTAGATCATGTTTGTGAAATAGCTACTTCTTCCGCAAGCAGTCATATGGCTCACCACTATCAGATACTAAAATTACGAAGGACATCAGGTTAAAGATGGCCTATAACGATGCAATGATCGTTGAGAGATAAACGTAGACATTTTTACGAAATCTAACGTACGCCCTTAGCTTAGAAGTACTCCATCACACACAATCTAATTAATTTTCTGATGGTATCATGTAGTGTGTGACAGGTGCTCACTATAATTAATTGTAGGGGATAATCGTAAACTGTGTTTCGTATAGATTGTTTCTTTTAATTTGTTAATTTAAGCTAATTATTTTAATGTGTATCATATAGGGGGTCATTTTTTACTTGAAACAACGCCTTTATTACGTTAGGATGCGCAACTCAGGCCTAAACTAGTGCATGGTAATAGTCAGGAGAAACAAAATCAATCGGCTGAAAACTTTATCGAAGCTGTAAACGCAATTCATAAGTGGCTTGACTGAAATACTGTCGTATGGCGACGAATGCCTTATGTAGGCCTTGATTGGCCGGATTTGAATTAGAAATATCTTAGGTTTGCACGGAACGCAGGCGATCTATTAATTTTAGTTAAATTTGAAGAACTCTTTGAAATGAAAGCATTTAGATGATTTTTTGCTATCATAAATAGAATACTGTGTTGTCTAGTATAGGTAAATATAGTGAAGTAACGGTGAGCTACCGATGAAATGGCTTTTAACAGTTGTATGGGTTGTTAGATTGGATATATATATATATATATATGTTCAGACTTTCGCTGGAAGGAAATGTATGAGATCAGTCATTCGAACTTCCGCTTATCATTTTTCACCAGCGGTCGGCTTGAAAGGGACTGTTCAGGGACGACTATAATCCAGTTCTTTGAGTACAGGCTTTAGGCAGTATGGATGAATATACATAATTTCATTGGTGTGATATGATATATCATCAATGCTATCGTAGCTCCGGTTCTCGGCCTCTTTCTTTCCCACATCGAATTTCGGGAAAGCTGATTGTGTCAACAAAAAAAAATACCTCGAAATGAAGTAAGTCTGGTAGAAGCGGCTGGGGCAAACAGCTTCACGATCCCTGCTAACGGTTCAACTAGAATCTAAATAAATATATATAAAAAATAGACCTGGCTGTACGATCATGTTGAAACTGTCGTATAGCCAACGTAGTAACCATCCCTTTCAGTACAACTGTTTGTCTAGCATAGACCTGTTCAGATTATTCAGAGGTTCATTATCGCTTTGAACTGTACAATACGAAAGCCTGAAGTGCTACATCAAACGACTATTATCATAGGTAAAGCTGCTCTAGGTAAAGTAAACAAAAGAAAAGTTTGTGATGAATTGATATTTGGTAGCTTTTTAATCGAAATATGTAACCTATTGTTAGAAATTGTTAGCTGACATGCTTTTAAGAAATATCTCTAATGATAGGCAACCTATATATTAAATAAAACCGTACCAACAAAGATCAAAGTATCAACTATACTAGTTTATTCCCATACAAAACGAGCAAGAGGTCAACAATCTGGCTATTTCATTATATAGTATATACGTGTCGTCTAAGTTCTTAGGAGGATAAAACAGAAATCCAGCAAGTATCAATTATCGAGTAAAGGCGACAAAAGTTTAAAGGGGCTATTTCTTCCCGTCTAAGGCAGCGTAAAGGCTGTACCAGACGTTTTTTTTTTTAATATACGCTCATTTCTGTCCTGTCATTTACTCCGAGGGCTGTAACAAGACGATTATATCGATCGAATAACGTGATCGACCGATATAACAGGTCTAGCGATCAAAAAATCGGGATGTAATTGACAGAAACGCATCGCATATCACTTCCTCTCTTGTGTACGAGCGAGCGAGCGAGAGAGAGAGAGAGAGAGAGAGAGTAAAAAATTTCCGACGATTCAAAATTTGAAGAAGAAACAATGTAGGAATGGGAAAAAGCAATTACTTATTCATATGTCACATAAGTAGTCACGCAAGATACATCGGGTTATTGCATACACGCATCTAATATTTTTACACCCAATACAATTCCACCTCTATTCGCTACATGTTGTGGTGGGAATGGGGATGGGGAGCCCAGTTTAATACCTATGTCCATCTGAAAAATGACATGCCGTCATCGACTGTACGGCCGTTGTCCCCTTTGAGTTTCGAGTTAGGCTACCTATTAGCTTGTATCTTTCGGTCGCCTGTTTCGACAACTTCTATTTCCGAGTGTTATCGGGTTGTGTGAAGGTACCAGATAGTCGGTCAGCGTGAATCAAAGTAAAGGATCAGTTTCGCATGATTTGGCCCAGATTTCCAGAAACGTTCAATACAAGACAGGATGAAGGCAAGAACTATGAAGCAAACTAAAATGTTCTGTAATGTAACTTCACTTACTAAAAGACATGGCCACGACAATGATTTGAGCTGGCAACAATCGTGAGTTATGCTGCCGGCGGAAAGACCTAACAACGTTGAGAAATCTCTTGCTAGTTGTTAGAATAGGAAAATCTTGGCGATATAATTTTTCCAGACTATAATTAGTTGGGGCTAAGTGCAAATAAAAACTAGATTAAAGGGAAAAAAGTTGAAGTTCGATATGAGTGAACTACAGCACATTGCACCAGCCAACGAATGAATTATTTTTCCCAACCGAGTGTTTCTCGTTACGTGAACCATATATGTATTGCGACTAAAAGACACCATCGAATGAGGACGGCATTGCTGAAGTGTTGTACAACTTGAGTATAGCGGACGAAAATATGGACCCACATCAACTTCAGTGACGTCGGGAAGCACACTTAGTTACTTCGGCTAGAACTTACATGGATAGCTACCAATGTCATCCAAGAATCGACGAAAAGCCTCGATGGATATCTTCTGAAAGAGCTCGTTTCCTGTGACATTAAAAGCCACCAAGATTTACGCGGCCGGTAACGAGAATGCTCACTTAGCATGTCGGTCGACCCGGCTATATCCGCGTCGCTGTAGTTATTGTTCTCTGTAACAGACGCAGATTGGCAACGTAAAATGATGACTCATCACTTTTTAAGGAACATGATTAGAAGACAATTTCGAGTTGAACGGCTAAATTCTTCCAATAAAACTGTGTTGTTATTATTATGTAATAGCAGACACTTTGTTAACGGTAGAATAGTTCATTAGAATTTACGTGCCCAAACTAATATGCAAAACTAATTTTTCCGTGTAAATCTATACTTTGACCAAATTTCCCTATAAGACCTTTATGTCCAAAAGGTGCATATATACACATATGTGTATATATTGGTGTAGCTCAATTTTGAAAAACGTATAGCTCTTATTTCATGATATGTACACCTGGCTTTTTAATAGGAGAAATTTGTTAGCTCGCCTTCTTTACTAATAGCAGAAATTTACCTCCAAACTAAACCTGATTCCACTCGCCGAACTTACAGAGTATTTAGTAGAAAGGGACAGATCTTATCTTCGAAATTAACATAAATTACATACGGTGCACGCCGACTGTTACCACAGCAGAATCTATAAAAAGCGCGAGTCTATCCGAGAAATCAAAGGGGAGCAAGTAATAGTAAATAAGGCTCGCAACGTCCTGCCCATTTGAGGCCATGGCCTGCGCCAATCTAACTCAGTGGCTCACGAGGAGCTCGGCGTTACTTTTCTGCGACGTTTATTATCCATGATATACAGGTGTATTAGTTTTTCATTAATGCAGTTGATGATGTTTTACGTAACTACATATGAGAACGAACAATTTTTCTGCCTTAAGCAATTACCACCATTGGCCGAAATTTTTATTGACACCATAAAAGAAAACGAGAACCTCCAGACTGGCAGAGTTTTTTTTTCTGTTCATTGTGATTGGACGAGAGAACGCCGATAAACGAAGCATTCAAGAGAAACAGAGTCAGTTATTATAATCGTTGGTTTATCACAAAGCATAACTTTCACTACGAATAGATCTCCATGATGACAAACAGTACAATCGGCTATAATAACTGAAATAAGTGGTAAGTAGGTAAGTAAGTAAGTAAAAATTTGTTTACCTATGAACATAATTTAGAAAACGATACCAATCAATTATGCATGCATATTTACAATAGATTTGCCAAGTAAACGTTTGCGTTATTACTTACCTCTTATTGAACGCGCTTGCTGGTGCAGTAGTATCCATAAAAGCACCCTGGAGAAATTATTAAGCATTGCTTCGTTAAAGGCAGGTTGGTCAATGACGCCATTAAGCACATTCCGTGCTGAGGAGTACGTTACAACGTGGGTACGAGCTCGAGGACGAAACGAGTTCATTGCATACGGATTACCGCAACCAACCTGCACCTTTAGGAAGCATTCGTCAATGATTTGATCCACCTAAAACACATGTCAGTATAAAAAACATTCATTTACCAAGTATATAATTTTCAATTGATCCAGCTCACTATATCATCGAAGCCGTCTAATGAATCGAAAAGCAAAAAATCTCCTTGTCAGATTGCATTTAGGCACTACTTGCACTAAATGACAAAAGCTTCCGGATATCTTCTTTTCGGAGATCTTCTATATCCTGCTTTCCACTGTCTGTGCGCTGCTTTTCTATTGGGCCTTTGCCTCTCGACTTCGTACGACGCTTGCTTCTGATGACGAGGAACGAAATAGGGCAGTCGTATATCATGTTTGTCACCTTGATTTCTATTTCCGTCATTGTGTTATTATCATCATTAGGAAGAATAGATATCTGCTTGAGGGAACGTAGCGGCAGTACAAATGCGTGGCTTTCAAGTCGGTGCCGTCACGCTGCAATATGGGATCCGCATTGTATGGAATGATGGATTTTCGTTTATATTCACTTTTATACCACTCGTCACCTCTCGACAACGAATTCTTGTCGTCAAGCCTTTTTTTTTTAACCGTCTTTCACCACTTTGAGCCTGGATAACCTTTTTTCCTCCTTCGCGACCCTTTTCAAGCCTCACTTATAATAAATAGTCTTTTGAATTTTCTTGCTTTTACCGCGCGCAGCTCCTCTTTCCGCCCTCGCCTCACCCCAGTTTGGCTGTCCCGCACCCTGTTCGTAACATCCTAATCGTCGTTACGACAATCGTCACGGAGGTCAACGAAAGGAAGATAAAGAAAAAAGTGGAGGAGCTTACCGTTGCTGCCTCTAGGCTATGGCACGACGTCTCCTGGAGCTCGAGTCCCTTGGCTTCCACACAACGGAACAAATACCCTGCTTCAATCACTCGCAGTAGTACCAATCGATTCTGGTGGCGAGCTAGAATACAAGACCCGGCTTGCAAAGAACCAAACAATCCGCGGCTTATTGGGCTTTCTAACTTTTCGATGAGCCGCGGTATAAACTGAAAGTGTGCAAATAACGAAAACAAAAATGTGTAATACATAGCTATTATTAGCATTCTCTGTTATTTGGCTTATTATGCACCCTGGGCTGTTGGTCGGCCCTCAACGTCGTTTGGTATCTTTTAAGCCTACCATGAGTATGCTCCCAGTGGTGCACTTTGCCGTTAGTCAATGCACCCAGAAATAACAGAACCCAGTCCTTCGAAGACACAAAGTGCCACTGAAGTAACTCTCTGATATCTGTGTGTGTTATATATTCCAACTATTTTTGAACGAATTAGTTACGAACAGGCTTAACATCATTTATTATAGCGGAGATCTGAGGTGAGATTGACATCATTGATTACTGAGCAGCAACCCGTTTAAATACGGTGTCATCGCGTTACGTTTTTAGCACCCCAGCATACTCATTGATTCACTACGTTCCTATTAACAGATATGGCTCGGCTAAAAAAAAGCGTTGAGTGAAATATGGCAATCTGAATGGTAGGGTAGCCTTTAACGAAACTCCCCTAAATATGCATTTTTTTTTTCTCGTTAACGAATAATTGCTATAGGAAATATATGGTCTGTTATATAGTCCAATAACAGACAATAGAAGGTCGAAAGAAAGAAACTGCATTCAAGCTTATTTAGATAGTACCTAACAGAAAAAGGGACGATAAGATTCATTGCAGATGGTACGAAATAGAATCATCTTGCATATAGAAGATGGTCAAGGCGAGAACTCAAGCATAAACTATGTTTGTTAGCACGAACTAATGGCCTGCTTGGTAAAAATAACGGGTTTTCAAGTTGACCTGCAAAAGCTTTAACCTGGCAGTGGTTGACCGTGTAAACATTTGGGACCCACCTGAGCGTAGAATACGATATCTCCCTTGATGGTGATCGCCGCGTCTTGTGTCTCCGACCTCGTAATGTTTTGTTGATCCATTAGGTCCCGGAAGGGCCAGAATCGGCGAGGTCTCGGGAAACCGGGCAGAAATATCGGCAGCGAGAATAGTGCGAGAAGGGGACTTTCTAAAAAGGCCGTCGATGCGCTCACCAACAAGAGCCACGGAAATAAAGTAATGTTCAGGGCTAAAATCGAATGATAACATTATATATAATTATATATAATATATAGAACGCAATACAGAAACAAAGTTGTCAAGTCAAGCATTTTGTACTTTGAGATGGAGTATGTGGTGGAATAATTGTGATTCCTTTCAATATCGAACTTTTTTCCTATCATCCTGTATTCATACTTTATTCATGGCAGGCAGTGTCTCCAGTGTCTGCAAGGCTTTATTTAAGAACTTTGAACAGGCCTGTCAGTCTGGTGGACCGTAAATAAGATTACAGCGTCGTTACGGTAGATGATCACCTTAGAAATAAATGACTCTCAATCCAAAGTAAAACTAAGATTCATTAGTGTATATAGAAAATTACGAGTCTATGTTGAAAGATTTGCCTTTGCACAGGAAAAATATAGCGCAAAGTACTTCGTTGGCCTTCTAGTCATTTGGGTCTAGATATATGAAGAAGCGTACAATGATGACAGAAGACCTAGGCGGTTTGCCTTAGCCGTGTCTAAATGGGGGAAAAAAGGCTTGCCGAAACGTGTGGGTGTAAATTAACAGGTTAGGTGTTTTTATTTCTACTCAAAACGATCACAGCTTTACGGTAAGGATGCGTAAATGTGTTATTACCTGAAAAAAGAATGCCATGGCTATGAACTTGCACTTCAGCGAAACGATGAAGTTCGCAAATATAGAAAAAAAATATAAATTTTACTATAAAAATTGACGTTCAGTCTAGCTAGTGATTAAGCCAATATCGAAACAATATTATTTGAACAAATAAAAACAAATCAGAGCATTATCATATAGCTATGCGCACCGAAGAGAATCCAGTTGTGTTGTAGTCGTTGTTTCGTAATAACGATAGATGAACTAAGTATCACCCCAACGGTATACAGCCGCTCCAAAAAGCCCATTAGGGTTCGCCAAGTTATAGACAGTGTGACAAACAACACACAAGCAGGAAGTACCCTAAGGTCTCCTGAGCAGGCACGAAATACAATCGTGCATACCGAGACGAGAATCGAGGTCCGCGTTCTCTGAAATATCTAAATTAAATAGGAACACAGCGTTTAGGCTCAGACCTACACATAGTTTTTAGACCTGTTTTCTACGTTTGACATATACTCATACTTCTTCAAATGCCACTATACGGTGTACTTCCATTGACAGTCTGAATCATCTCAAAAGAACGCTAAACTCAGCTGACTGATATCAAATTTAGCTCTACATCATTGGCAGTGCGGAGTCCTGCTCACCCGCTCACTGTAGCATCTGACATACCTACCATCAGTACCATGATACCATCGATCAGGACAAACATCAGTTGCCCTTACCGATTGACGCTTAATATCTGTTTCACACAAGACATGCTCTTTACGTGTGATGATGTTTAATATAGATTTCATTTTCATCATTTTAGGTACGTTGTGTAGATCTGTAATACTAATAGTAATTGTATATCCCTGTCGGAAGGCCCTTTAGCATAGTTCTTGGGTTCAATATTTGAACTAAAAACGGGTCACATACAACTTCTGCGAATGATGTTTCAAGAGCACTGCCTTGTTTTCAGCGCAAGGTGACTAGCTTGCTATGAAAGTTCCAGGCATTACCTTTAAATGGCAGTTAAGTCACCCCATGGGAAATTTTAAAATAGCCACATATTCCATACGGCGAAGTTGAAAAAAATATTATGTTAAAAAAATAGCGATTAAATATTATGTTTAAAAAAAAAAAATATTTTAAAAAAACAGGTAGGCAGAAAGACGAAAAAAGTACAGATCCTGTAGTTTACTCGGCCAACGGATGAACGCATAAAGATTTTGAAAAAGCGCGGTTTCGAAGATAGTCACGATTAAGTGAGCAGGCGTAGAAAGAAATGTAAAGTCGATAGTTCACTTTATAACGTAATGGAACTTTTTAATGCTCAAAATGCGAACACAATGAGTTTATGTCTAGCGTTCGGCATCATCAATGAGCTACCACATAGGGTTGAATAGCATTAATAGTAGTTATCAGCGGGCAGTTGTAGAAGTAACTCTATCAGAGCCGTTGTCAGCTAATATTTATCAATAAAGATAACAGCATTCACTCGTATGTTAGTAAAGTTTTCCAGCGCTGGAGCTAGGGAGCGTTGATGTGTGGTAGCGCGCAGACCTGCTCACGGGACCTTTTTTTTCTAGCGAATACTCGGCACCAGAGGAGGACAAAAAAAATGAACGGAGCTCTCGTTCGTTTTGCCAGTCTCGGGAAGAGGAAGATGCGCCGTCCTGGATAAGCGGCGATCTATTGAACGAAATGTACATTTTTCACGCTAATGCTTCCCTCGTTCTGCAGTTACTACTACTGCTGCTGCATTGTATCGAGGCTTCCCGGAGCCCGGTGATAACGCCCCCTGAGGGCGACTGCATCACCGGGGGGAGGGGAGCATACTGTCTGATGGTGAGCGTCATAGTGAGAAAAAGTAATAACGTTTATCTTTGTATCTCAGCCTCGCCTTGTATATATATATATATACTATAGACGCGGAATGTAAAACGACAGCGTGCGAACAGTGCAACACTGTTGTTGAACCATTAGTTAGAACGTTTGCGTATAACGTGCGTAATATTTAGGCTTTCTCGGGCCAGACGCGCATCTGTCGCCTGATAGCGTGCGGAAGCTCAAAGAAACGCTTCCGAATGAATGTATTTGTTTCGAGAGCGGCTCGATTAGCCGTCATTTTGGAGCTGAAGTATTATCATGATGTCCATATAGTCGGATTAGCTACTTATTTTTGATACTTGTAAAAATCACCTTGGTCAGCAATTGGAGATATTAATAAATTCTGTATAAGTATCATATAGAAGTAGCGCGATAGCTAGTTCCTATCTAGAGGAAGCCTTAATTATGTGTATCAATAATTTTACGGCACCCGTACAAATGGAGCGCAAAAGGCTAATGTAAATCTTCTTTAATAAATCTTTTAAGACTAACATAAAGGCACTTGGCTGATGTCAGTCTCTTGCAACGGAGGAGCCCCTAGGGCCTGTATATTTAAATGAAGTTCGTTTCAGTCTTGAGCCTTTTTTACGTACATTAGCTCGTTTAGCTCCTGAACATACACAATGTTTATTGTGTGACTGTCACTTATTGAACAAAGTCAAGCGCCGAAACACACCACACAAATAGAAAAAACCAACCCAGTGCGCTAATTCGTTTGATCGCCCACGCATCGCCTTACTAATAATAGTGAATTGTACGAAAATCTAAGATAAGCTAAAATAAAAACAACCCCAATTAAATTCAGCGTCAAACTTACCTCTCGATATGATTTGACGAGAGAGATCGTCACAAGTACACGCTGCAACGCATCTTCAGGATAAAGATTCCCTCCGGAAAAAAACCAGCACATCAGAATCGGACTCACTACAAGTGAACGTTCGCAAGTTATCACATAGCGTAGCTATAAACATAATATTGTTTTTTTCACGATTTGTCGCAAACAAATGCACAGAAGACTAAATCGGATACTGCCAGCTGCAGACCATTACTCAAAGCCTAGCCCATATATACGACTTGATAGTGTAGAAGTCGATTACATCCTGTAGTAACGTTACCTAAAACCTGTTACGAGATGATGCCCAGCAAAAAACAGGTATATATTTGTGCGGCAGGTACGTATCACGGAGGATAAAACGATATCGGAAGCAAAACGTTGGCCACATATATTTTAGCTTTTCTAGGGCATTTCTGATTGTCATATTATGTCGATGACATACATAATAGCTTGAATAGTTTTATAAAACGTCACCTTAGGTAAAAGTAAATAGCAGGTTTAGTTCATTACGGAGATGCTTTTGGGATTGTTGCATGGGGTTTATATTGATTTACTCCAGATCTGGATATCACAGAATTGGGGCACAGTGTTAATGAAAATAGACTCAATCGATGTGAGGTCAAGATGGTATGAGCTTTAGCTATATATATGTAATCCTTGCATACCCACTAAAAGGCTTCCCCATTTATACTAGGTAGTTAGTAACTTCGATGAAAACATTGTTGACATTGTCCGGGAGCCAAACTTGATCAATTTTGTTACGTTGTACAGTTATCTAGTTGTATATGAATTTTATATCGTTCGAAAGCATAGCGCCCATATCTTTGACAGGAAACGCGTCGTTGCGTACCACAGACTGTATATCATGCAGAAAAAATCGTGCGCTAAACGAGTTTTCTAGGAAGTTGATTTTACTGACGCCGATAAGCGAATTCTTCGAAAAATATCAAGGAAAAACGGCCGAACGGAAAATGCCATTGAAGTTGCGCACACTGACCGCTGCAGTATAAGTTTACCTTACTTAGAATAGTAATAATCCTGATGATCCACAAGCATATCTCGATATAGCTAACGTATAGCTAGTTACCTTCAACGGCGTGGCTTTGTCCAAAATAATAAGGCCTTGATATTATATTGTGTACTTTGTGCTAATTTCTATATTAGAGCGATGATGTCGGGCTGCAAGTTTAAATAGCTTCGCTAGTAGGAAACAAAAGCCTGAGTTTTACAGATACGTCCGTTCGATTCTAGACAGAGTCAAGTTAAAAAATTATTTTTCCTGTTCTCATTACGATGCGTTATTGCATTTTATTCAGGTTCGATATTTAGGAATTTTTTTTAGGAAGATTTTGCTAGGAAGAGGTTGTATGTTATGCTGGATTTACGTGTCGTAGATTGAAATCTTGTCAAGTTACTACACAGTCTGTCTCACTCACATATCGATTTAGTTGCCCATACTTCAATAGTTCAAATTTTACATCTCAGTTTTAACGTCATTGGACATTACGAAGTTTTCTTAAACCTTGCTTCCTTTAACTAAGCGTGTAATATCATATCATGAAGTTATTGAGGCATCTTCCAAGTTTGTGGTGGACGTAACTCATCCGGGTTCTCCTTTATATCTATCTGTTATATACGGACCAATGGGTTTAATTCGTGACATTTGATAGAAGCAGGTTCTCTATAAGGTTAGTATAGTGGCACCATTCGATGAGGGCGTAAATAATCGGTTTTCGGTGTCATTCTATCTTAATGCTCTGGATAGGAGATGCTAGTTCTGAAACAGCTTTAGCAGTGGATGAATGGAAAGCCCAGATTGTTTTTCTTTACCACGCACACAACGATCAAGATCCTCGAAAGCTGACACATGATGCGAATATTATCCAGCTTTTTTCAACCTTATTGCCGCTAGAATACCTCAGCCGTTACAAGACATATATGAAATACGTCAGCAATACCTTTTAGCAGGACAAAAGTCCAATGGAAAGGAATCAAGAACGAGAACAGATGCGAAATAGTGTAACATAGATACATATACCTTCGTTCTCCTTTACGTATGCACGATCTAGTTCGCTGTATTGGCCTGCCGTATGCTAAAGCTTCAGTGCACCTATGCTTACACCTGAATAATGCGCTAAATACGTACTTATGAAAAAATTCATCTAAACCTATCGTATCTAGCGTCAATTTTTTGTAAAAATTCGCTGTATGTGCTGGGTTTTTTAGTGAAAGGCCCACCCGGTTTACTTTTCACCATACAGGGGATGGATACGCTCTTATTCATATATACTTCCCAGATACGATAGTTTTTAGCCCCACGATAGATTTATCGTTGAGCTATTACCGCTAATGCCTTTAGTGACCGGTTATGACAAATAAATACGGGGGTTCTTTGTAGTCTTTATCTGACAGTGACAGCTAAGATAGATGGGTTAAACGTTACTGTCTTTGCAGGTGTAGGCCGGAGCGACGTTCGTATAGCGCTTGTTAACAGCTTTTTTACACAGCAAAGTAGAAGAAATCAGTGGAAACATTTCGTAAGGATAACAGAAAAACGGAAATAGTTGCCTTTCTGAATCCGTCTACAGTGCAGCATTTTGAGGGCAAACTTAATATTTTTATGACCATAGATAGACAAAGAGACCTTATAAACCCAGATGATTTTAAAAGACGTACACATTCTTCCGTCGAAAGCTCCCCGTGAAGCCGTGAAAAAACCCCGGAACTGTGAAACAATCTATTATTTCAAAGATTAATAGTAAAGAACCCGTCAGATCTCTTACGAACTATTACTTCAATTCAGAAATAAGTATCACTGAAATTTTTAGGAGGTCGCTCTGCTTATAGAGAATTATCTATTATTCCTTTTCATAAAGTTATTAGGTCCACTGATGAGAATTCTGCTCAAGAATTTTTGCGTAAATATATTGCGCAAAGTATGGTAACTTTAGTGTCTAAGCTTAGTCGAATAAATAAACGTATAGGTTCAGAACAGGAGTTAGTATAGATATAAAAATGCCTCTTACTAATTTAGATACTAATAGAAATGAATAAAAATGAATTATTATTATTTCTAGCTGTATATCTCCGAATTACTATACTTCTTTGCTCGAAGAAGATGTTGGTTGCTACAAACTTTACTATTTGGCTTTTCTAAATAATTCTGCGGTCACTTTTGCAAACAACACAATTATTCATAAGCATTCGAGGCTTAATTTCAAAAAAGACATTTTTTCGTATCCATCTTAACTAAGGATGTCCTTTGTAGAGGTTTATAGAAAGATATTATATTCATGGTGGTCTCCAAGAGGTAACTGATCAGCTTTTCTAATGCACCAGATACGAGTACGAATGACTGCATCGATTCGTATCCGTTTCTGGGGATTTGAACCAAAAGTCTGCAATCTCCCTTGTTACCTCGTCCATACTCCTCTAAACGGAAATTCAATAGCTTCGATTTTAGGGCCGAACAATGTACAATTGACCTTCATGGATTGCATCGACCCATTGACACAACGTTTTTCACCTGTCTGCAAGACATCACGAGGACCTTACACGCTTCTCGATTCCGTGCCGGACGAAAACAAAGAGCAACGATAGAGACTTTCAGACATGTTTGCCGTCTCGGTACATGCGCAGATCGTATTCGGTTAGGTGTACGTACCGCTATGTACAAGAAGACCCTGAATGAGTATATGGACGATGCCGTTGATTGACGTCTTCCTCGTTTCCCTGAAGTTATTCCACAAAGGATTGAGAAAAAGGCCGCCGAGGAAAGTGACCCGCTGTAACGAAGACAGGATCTCAGATATAACTAGGATAACGGCCAGTATGATTCCGAGAGACAATTCAGCTTCGCTGGACACCGCGTCTTCCTTGATCGTTGCGATCGCGCTTAGGACAGCGATAACCGTGTGCTGAATAGCGACCCACCTGATGAGAAAAACACTCGGTGTTTATAGAGCAGACTTAGTTTACTATTATCACTACTGCCACTCAGCATTGTTCTAGGTTGGAGCAATTTGATTAATCTTAATAAGATTTATTTGCGAATTTCTAATTAGCCATGTCCTCAGCTTGGAGAGAGGCCTGGACCTACTGGTACCTAGTGGCCTTCGACAGAAGGTACCTTTAGATAGAAGGTAAGTCGCACTTAATTGGCTCTCGTGTTCTAATAATCGTGGGCCAACAAATTTTGCATTGCCCTTTATGTGAAACATCTAGAAAGGCACAAGTATTGGATATATTGGCAGCTCTATTCAACGGTGCCTTACTTGGTGTCAATGATGTAAGAATAAAGTGCCCATATGCTGTTGTTAAGCTCTAAAGCAATGTACTTTTTATGTTATAACATCGTATTTATTACTGAAAATTTGCCCGAACTCTATCGTTTGTTATTAGAATCAATTTAATTATTCATTACAAATTCTCTGCTCACGTACTGAAAGAATATTAGGGATTTATGAGTTCAGCTGGAACTCTGCGTTTCTACCTTTTTCTATGGGTATATATTTAGATAGTAACCTGAAATTCCGAAATAAGAAGGAAAAGAGGATAATTGCGATAAAGTATTTTAACGAATTTTAAAGGAAGGTTGATAAGCAAAGTCGGCAAAGAAACAATCTATGGACGATTGGCATTTACCTCGGCTTTTAGGTGTAACCTAAATATATATAGAAATACATACGAAAGGCTTTCTCCAAAATGGCTAAACTTAGGTTAGTCTTCTATGGGGACTGTGTGAATTTTTTCAACAATGGTATATGCAGCAGCTTGTGGTAAGCAAATACACGATTCCTGCACAACTTACCATCTTTGGAGATGGGCATAGTGTAACGCAAGTACAAACCCAGAAACACAAGCGAATAATGCTTTGTATGATTGCAGATAATAGCACACAGCAGTAACTGTTAAAGAGGCCAGCAACTTAGTAAACAGCCTGAAAAATTTCGTACAAAAATATAAAATTTAGGGTCTTCAATCAGTACGGGCGCATCGTTAAGTTGCTATCTACTTTTCTGTATGAAATTACGTAAGATATATTATTTTAGAACAGCATAATTATGGTGTTGCAATTTCAATTATAGTTCCAAGGTTACATGAGCGTTGAGTTACATAACGGGCAGGTTCTGAAAGCTTTCCTTCGTTGGTAAATGTCTAGGTTTTATCCAAGAACAGCGACTGACAAGCGAGGTTCCAATCCAGTTAGTTAACAAAAAGTAGTTAGAATTAAAGCGATTGCCCGAATATCAGTTGTTAGATATATACCCAAATGACTGTTCAAAAAACACTATATACATCCCAACAAACTACTCTCTGCTACGAAAATCAGCGTAAGTTTTCGATTAAAATTCAGCATAGTCTATGTTAGGATATTGTATAAGGCCGTAGTAAAGTAAAATGGAAGTTACAATGATAAATGCAAGAGTGCCCACGGAGTACCTCTTAAATGTTCCTATTTCAGGTCCGCCACTTAAGCTTATCTAACGAGGCAATTTAGAATGGAAAAGAATATCCGTCGGTTGACGAGTAACGATTTGTAAGTGGTCTGTATTAGTTTTTAGCCGTAAATTTATTCTCCAAACAGAAGGGTAATTTTTTATTTTCCTTTTGGCCGTCGCAGACTGCTTTCGGAAGGTCGATCACTTTTAGACACATTTACATATGATTCATCCGTTCCGTAGCATCGAAAGTGTTTTTCCTAAAACAAAATCAACGATATTGACAATAAGAGGTTGGCAAAACAAAGTCTGTCACTTCGCGCACATAGGCAGCATATAAAAATAGAAATTCAATGATGTGTAGCCAATGAGAAATCCTCTTCGTAGTTGAGGTCGAATTGTTAAGAGAGGCTCATGTTTCTGATACTACCCATTTACTTCATATTCCGCTACTTCAGTCATTTTAAATCGACGCCTTAGAGAATGTACAAGCATAAACTGACATGACAAGCTAGCCATAAATGCACGCCTTTTCCGTAAATTGCTCTTAGAGATTCAGATACCAAAAAACTCAGAAAATGATGCTATACGGAGAGCACCGAACGCATTGCTAGCCACTGATCACTTTCTAGAATAAGTAGTTTCAAAGAAGTGTATGGGTTGGCAAACGTCTGACGCGTTCACTTCCGGAAAAGTGTCAGCACCTATGTTTACCCTCTTGACGATATATGACAATGCAAACAGCATTATCGTCCCCAGCTGTAGAAGGTCTTTACCTGGGAAGCGCAATTTTTGCGGTTCCAAATAGGTCGGACGTTATAAGCATGGCCAATCAGCCAGATCTTCATTCAGACCATTCAGTCAGATTCTGAATGAAGATCTGGCACCTTTTTTTTTTTTTTCATAAACTGCATATACATGAAGTGTCAAACGCAATAGCCTATTTCCAAATGACTATATTTAAACATTTGTCTGCGCAGGTTACTAATATCTAAAGCTTTAATGAGAAAAACGGGGAAATTTCACATGTCACATATCCATCTGGACCTTAACTTTTTAGCATGTAACAACAGACTTACAACTACTGCAGGACAAATTGAAAAATCTTTCCTCATCTCTGATTGACCCAGAGAAATATCTAGTTTAATCTGCCGGTCTGACAATCCTGATACGTTTTAATCGATTTAAATAGGCTGTGTCTGATCTAATCGAACAAGTGGACAACAAATTATCATGATTTGATACTCTTGTGCACCATAAGATGGCCTCACGCCTTTATTTAGACAAGTATCGACAGCATCGCGAGTGACACCCTTAAGAATGACGAAGAGACAATCAAGTTATGACATTTTGAACATTAATTTATAACGGAATGAATAGGTACTTTTACAGCTGTCTCATAGAATGTACCTTAAGTAAGATAATATAACATAATATGAATAAGCACGTATACTATAATTTCGTAATACGATGACGGGTCCAACAGGATTTTGGTCTTCGTTCATTAAACCACATAAAGATAGGTCTTCATTCATTTTTTTCGGCTGGAACATTTTAATACAATGATAGTAATAACCTGCAAGACTATAATTCATTCCAAGGCCGGAAAGCATGTGAACCGCAGCCCTGCAAAAAGTAAGCCTTGCAAATTCAGCCACTGCAGTTCTATTTATCATTATTACTGTGCTAGAAGTCGATCTGGCGTCATAAGCGATTACAAGCAGGCAAAGTTTGCCAGCCAGCCGCCGCTACCGCAGCAGAGGAAGTGCTTCTAAGTGGCACAGCAGCGGACATCTGCCTGTAACGGCGGACAACAACAAAAACTCTGTTTTGCAGATGCTATGCTAGTGTTGTTCTTGTGACAGTCAGATATATATAAATACAACTTCCAAAGCAAGTACTTTAAGAAAATGAGAATGACTTACGAAAGCTCGGAAGGCGTAGGGGAGCCGCCAAATAGTGTGGTAGAAATCCATTCGCCTGCCCACAGTTTAAGGGCGTCTAAAGGCGCAAGTACACCCAGTAGCCAAAGAAGGGGCAACAAACAAATAAATGTGTCAAGAAATGGAACCAGCATATGGTTCATTCCTTCCACTGGAACCTCACGTAGGAAGACTGCGCCACCTACTAGGCATCCGAGATAAAACGGTCGCATCAAAGGTTGGTACCTGTAGCAGTCAACAAAAGAGTTAATGTATAATAATTAGGAATAAACTTACTTTTTTAGAGCCCTTGTAGAAAGCTATTGGGTCGTCAAACATAATCACGTATTTATAACTCTCTTTAACTTTAATCAGTTTTCCCAGGAATCCGAATCAATGGAAGCTGTAGATACTAGTGACTACAAGTGGCCAGTTGGAAAGGCTGGATTGTATCGAGTTTAGACCGGGCCGTCACGTGCCTGCTTTGCCCTGTTTGACTTACTAAAGCTTTTAACCATAGGAATAGAAGCAATAATAAGTATTCTATTGGGTATACACTTCGATAACGATTCGTTCTGTTGCCCCATTCTCTGATGGTAGCATACTGTGAAAATCTCTGCCACGCTCGTTAAATCTTTGACACCAACTATTTTTTGAGATCAAGGGCGAAAGGCCAAGACAATGCATACGAATAGATCTAGATTCTTTCATGATTTTAACAAACTTCTATCTTAGATAATTTGATCAAGAAACATCGCTCTGGATCATGTGGTTTTCTGTTTTGCCTCTATCAAAGCTCTATGTATTTCTTTAAAACTTGTTATATAATAAATTGTTTATTTTTTAATCATAAATTTACTTTAGAACAATGCATTTCGCGTACACTAGTTTTCGAGGCACTTCCAGGTCGAGGTAGAGACAGTTTATCTAGAACAGGACCTATCCAATTTAACCTACTATATGCAGACTCGAAACTAAACTTACCAAGTTTCATGAAATGCGCCTATTGGTGGTTGAAAGCTGGCGGTCTCTACGGGAGCCTCTACTGCCAGCGAATGGAACGTGACGCAATCAGCTAGCCATAGTAGATGTCGTATTAGCATCTCAACTGTCCAATATTTAATCACCTTTCTATGCTGCGTGGTCCCATATAATAGAAAATACAGCAACCGGATTTAAGGCTCTAATTAATTATCGATTATAGGAAAATTTGATTATTAGAGACATGTCTAAGTTTTGTAAATTATGCCTAGGCTTAAACTCGCCATCCAAGTATACTGCTAGCTGGCTAATTGAGCACTGATCAACACACTAATGTATGCAATTCATTAGAATTCCAAAATGATCTTTCCTCAAAATGCTTGATCGCATCAATCGATACGTTATCAGATTTACGTATGCAGGTTTCGTTAATTGAATTCGTTCAGCGCTACTATTGAGACATTTATGACTAATTCTAAATCAATATGACGATTTAAATGTGTCGTATTCGACGACAGCTCTATTTATAAATTTTCTAAAATGTTCCTAAAACACCGGTGGAACATTTATGATAATCAGTTTTCACAGTACGAAAATATCAAACTTTCTATTATAAAATCTAAAGAGTTAAACATAGTAATACCGACAAATACATAGTTCTTGAACTAACTGGAAAGCAAGAAACCGTAAGAAAGGACGGAATGGTATTATAAGCGGTTATGGGCTAGACTTAGCACTGCATGTCACCTTTTTCAGGACGGGTCTGTTCAGATATAGAAATGAATAAAATTCCCATTAGCGAGATCCTGCAGAGGTTGAGGACTATATTCGTTATATAGGTTGAACTAAATAAGTCAAAAAATGTTTGAATGGCCACAATCATGCGTTCTGGATACTTATCTTGATACGATATTTATGCCTAGATAACGACGCATTTATTTTGGAGTCACATAAACGCATCGTGACACATGTTTAAAGCACCACCCGATTCACGTATAGCACAAAGCAGTCTATAGCAAGAAATTGTCGGCTCGCAAAAATTAAAATGAATAATATATGGTCATAGATAAAGAAAAATCGTACAGCCATTAATGATTTTAATTACACCAAGTCACCAAAGTGAACTAGAAGGTCTTGGACGGATCCTAAATCTATGCTCTTATATCTTAAATTGAGCTAAGTCGATCGTAGAAAAGGCAGATTTGGTGAGCAGTTGACAGTTGAGTTGCTATTATTACCCTAATTGTTCTTAAGTATCCAGAAATAGAATAGAAATACATCTTGTCTTTTTTGCAAATTTTACGTTGTCGTCGTCAGCTTGTCTACCGTATGCGTCGGCAGAGACTTCATTACTTTCCTCTGTAGACATTTTGCCTACCAGATATGAAAGCTTATCGTTGATTTTACCGTAATTCGGAGCCAAATTATGCCAAAAATCAAGTCCGCAATGATCGACGATATATAAAAGCGCCAGCTTTCTCACCATATTCCAGTTTGCATCTTACAAGGTCCACCGTTTCGTTATGGGACCTACTGACAAATCTTGTAATGCTCTAAATTCTGCGCTGATGTATCGAACTAAGTCAGATCATCAAGCTCAGAACGCTTACCTCGGTCATATCATACAATATCGCACTTGAATTACCATAGGTTCTATACACATAGAACCAAAATACTGAACAAATGAATTGTTAACCGAATAAACATACTATGCCCCTTTCGGGCACATCGGTACCTATCTCTAAAACATCACATCTCTTAAATCTCATACATTGTAGCCTAGAGCTTTTTCGAAATATGCCAAAATGGCGAGCAAATATAGATGTATTAGGACCTCGAAGACGCGACAAAACGAAAATTATTCATGGTGTATTATTCTCAACAAATTCGAGTATCTTTCAAACGGAGAACCAAGAGGCGCTTTGAGGTTAGTTTGGTCTTCGATATTGACTGCCATTTTGTAAGTATGAATGTGGACCGGCTGTTTGCTAGATGTTCAGACTATTTAGCTATTTAGCTTATCGTTCATATTGCTGAGTGATCAGGATCTCGAGTACGGTATTTCTTCATCTGAAGAAAGATGACATGTCCTGATGTTAGCAAAAACATTCTCTTTTTTCTGTTCGTACTGATGAAGCTTTTATAAGGGAAGCTGCAATTCACGGAAATCGAATGTAGATCTAGTCCACGCTCGCAACCGATCACAAAGTAAATATCCAAAGCAACATGTTGGTGCGAGGATCTTTTTAGCAATAAGTGTTTTTATTGCGTGTCGTCATTCATCATCGGCCCAGCAACATACAGACAGTAGCAAATTATTTTACCGCATCGAGAGTTCTTACATAAATGTCCGTCTACTTAACATCGCCAGACACCATCGTCCACCGATATCAGAAATCTGCATTAAATGGCAGGAATGGATGAATGTTTCTATGCGGACCCTTTTCTGCTATGGCAATGAAGAAAAGAGCGCGGAACGAGTCTTAAACCATATGCTTTTATACCCATCTATAACAACAAAGGCGATTATAATAAAACTAAATGTCCATGTCTACGTGAAATTATTTGCGACACATATATCCGTCCTAATTATGATCAATTTTATGGCCATTATCTTAAGCTCTATGGACGACAGCGGCTAAGTGGGTTACCCGCGACAGCCTTCACCCATCACGAGGCACAAGGCGGACATATATATATATATATATATATATATATATATATCGGCAACGAACTTGCTGAGAGTAGTTATCTAATACCTTTCCTAATGGATCATCCAGGAAAAAAAACTATAGGCTGTACAATAGAATCGAAGCTAGAAACTGTTTAATACGATCATATAGTTTTAGTTATGTTGATATGTTGTTAAATTTAGCGAGGTCTACGAAGAGTACGACAGGAATCGATCGCCGTTGGATCCGGAACACGCCAAACTAAAGGTTGCCGCAAATCGCAGCAGGGACCTCCCGAGCTTTCCTGAGCTTTTATAAGGACCGTGTTCGAGTGAGTGCTCGTCACTGGCGTAAACGTGCGCGCTTACAGCGAGCAACATGCCTGAAAAGCTCCACCTATCGCCACGGTGTTACGGAGGCTATGACCAGTCTTCATTTAATTTCTTTATAATATTCAATATTGTGACTAATGATTTGTCTCCTTTTGTTACGATCGGTTTGTCAACTTCGGATTGTTCAAGCTAAAGAGGTATGAGCTATTGTTGGATCCCCTTTGCAGCTCATCCGTCAATTATAATCAACCCACGTCGCTTGTGTGGTGAGCGTTTTAACGTAAGAAACGTTTAGAAATCAAGTTTGTCGTTTCAACCAGCATGAGTTCGCTGGGCTATTAATCAACAGAGCTTTGAGGTCTTCATACAGTAAGCACAGCTGAGTCGTCTCTATCTAAATAAAAACTAGCTCATAAACAAAAGTAATAACATTATAATGATCATGATACCTTGCCATTGTTGCGTTCCACGAATACTTTTCTTGTACACGTGTACATTCATCCAGCTGTATTATAGTAATCTACATTTGTCTAGCATTAGCGAAATGCATAGAAACACTGTTCCCTTGACAATTTGTATGGATAAAGCTACTTATCCACCCTCTTCCAGGCACAGGTATTGTGTTTTTCCTGATAATTTCCCGCAGTCGATATTGTTATTTGCGACCGAAATGACCAATAAACGTCTTCAATTTGGATCGTCGCGCTAAAATAATTGCCGAATGTCAAGAGCTTCCAGTCTGTCCATAATGTTGATATGCTGCGGGGTTTCCCTAATAACGTGTCCTCAAATGTATCAATTTCTCAGATTCACAAATTCTGCTTATAAACAGTTTATACATTAGTTAAATATCTAGTAACATATATGTATATATGCGTGTCGACGAGAAGGCCTAAACTAACGAGCCTTGGTTTTTTAGCCATAGGGGTCTAAACAGCAAATCGGCCGGGACATTAAGGTACCAATCCGAGTCGGCTTCATAAAGCAATGTTCAGGTCCCTCCAATGCTGGCAAATACTTTAAGCAAGTCAATACCGTTAAAATGCCACCTAAACAAGTTATCACGTTGTTCTTAACGCTGGCCATCATCAACTTGTTTCCGTAGAACACACAATCATTGCCAAAACCTAAAATATATGGGATCTAATATATCATATTATAATAATTCTTCAATTCCTTCTCAATTCCTCAGTTGTGTACCCTAATTAATCGTTGTTAGGAATATGTTGTTATACTTACGCTAAGCCAGAAGTTTAAGTAGAGAACAGACGCTTCAAGGCAAGCCGCTGTGATCGCATATAAAAAGGCACAAGGAAAGGGTCTGTATGCACACGGCCATTTGTCCTGCAATCAAGAACGATCGTTTTTGCGGTAGTCTGAATAAGTACCGGAGTGAACGGGAAAATGCATTTATTGGAAAGTTTGTTATCAAACAATGCATCGAGCCGAAGTACAACGAGTTGAACATGGCATCGTCTCAACACGAACTTACTCCCGCAGACGTGCTATTATTCTGTGTACTGGTTCGGATTCTCTCTTATAGCTACTGCTAAATTGCAGTTTATTAAAATCTTGTCCCATTAGATTCATTATTACACGGCCCAGGCTATTTCCTAGAGCCGATTACCTTGTTTTGGAAGTTCAGCCGCATCGCGTCCAATCACACACAAAAGGAATCGCAATTTTTTTCATCATTAAGTTCTCTCGAGCGAGATCTTCTCTAATCGCCCTCTAGCCATATTGTAACCTCGTAACAGATGTCCAGTACTGTTTGTGTTAGCTGTTGTCTGCTCCAAACTGTGACTGAGTTATCGTGACCCATTATTCCACCGCTGTCCCGTTGTCCCCAGACGGAAATTTTCAAAATTCCATGTAAATTCTAAACCGCTCATGAAACCAAGTAGATAAGCAACACAGATATTCTTAAGTGGCTCTGAGCCGTTGCCTGATGCCAACCAGATTTAAGAAAAGTAATGTCTTATGCTTTTTTTCAGCGTACGACCGATTTTTTCTTGCATCTGTTAATGTCGTCATCATCATTTCCAGCTAAGCTAAACGCTTATACACAAAAAGCCGTTAAAACCCCGTTCGAGATGGTTTGCATACACGCACAGACAAAATCTACTGGTCTTAAAGTGGAATATAAACAAACCTACCTTCGAGTGTACCATGTCATCGTCGGTGTACTCAGGAGCTACAATATGGCCTCGCCGCACCTCGCACACAACCCACAGTACAATGACAAGCACAAATGATAGAGCAGCAAATATTCCACAGGCGGAATAGAAGTCGAGGTAGTAGTTGCGCACCAGAGAGTCCAGCAAGAGGCCACCAACGATAAATGGGAAAAAAAATAGACCACTTTCGAGCAGCCAATAGCTCAGCCGAGGACAACCCCGTAGCGTATCTGAAAATTAATTCGAAAAAAATTGAAATTTGTAATTGGCTATAGAGAGTAAGAACGTGCTGCTACACTCTGCAGAGCATTCAAACGAATAATAATTATGAAGGCTTCTAGATCTCTACGCACGTAATGTTGTTCAATGCCGTGAGAGAAGAATATGTATTTAAACAATGACCAACTTTTAAAGGCCTCCATCCCATATAGCAGTTCTGTGGGCCCTCAATTGGTGAACCCTTTTAAAAATTTCTCTATGTTAAAATAGAACCGTTGCCAATATATCTCACATTGTTTACTTCAAACAGCAGGACCAAGTCAATGTCACTAGGTGTTTGGAGTTAGATAATGACAGATATGCTCAATTTCAACCTGTGTATGTTGGTGTTCATATTGACGGAAAGCCGTCTCGTTGGCTCGAAGACAACCGGCCGTACGCTAGGTTTGTAGGACTCCAGTAACATACGATTAGCGATCTTACATCCGAACTAGGCATCGGGATGCCTATCAACGAGGCTCGAATACCAATTATGTCATGGTAGCACTATTAACCAGTCGATTTGTAAAGAAAAAGCTAAGCATTTGCGTTCTGGGACTGCAATTGTCTATACGTAACCCTATCATAATAGTTGTTTCATTCGTAAAAGTGTAGAAATCGCGCTACACGCTTGCGATACACATTTACGGCCATGTATACATAGAAGCTCCTGGACCCAGTATCGTCGACAAGTAAGATCAATTAACTGAATCAATATATAGAAAAACAAATGAGCGAGACAGCAGGGCCGCGCGAAGTACGTTTTGAAAACACTTATAAGGCTGCCAATGCAAAGCGTACGCCTTGTTAGCCATATAACTATATTTCCTATATATACAACTATATATAATTGTTTTACCATATTCTTATAGAATACATTTGGTTGACTGCGTAAGAGGTGTTTGTTCCAGTAGCAACTTGAACATGTATCTAGAGGACAAAGAAATTGCACTTACTATTTACATTATGAACATTGAAAGGTTAAAATATACAAGAATAGGCAGGAACCGGCTGTTGGCCCTAGCCACCAGTGCAAACGGTATAATCGACTAAGAAGAAGAGTCGAGAGTATTCGGTCAGAACTCAGGGGTGGGGGTAACGTGCGCGGTGTGAAGGCCGCACGCAATCTGAATCACCTAAAATACATGCATACAAACGATAGTTCAAATAAATATATAACAGAACATCGTATCGAGTAAATACTAGAAATTCAATCGCTTCTTAAAGAAACATTATTTGTAGCCATTTGGCATTTTCTGAAGTTAGTTATATGACTTCAACGGGCAACTGCCGTACCACAGCGCGAAATAGCTATGTTCAGAAAAAAAAAAAAAAAAAAAACTACATAATGATACAGAGTTATGAAAAGGAATAAATTAAGCGAAAATAGTTATATAGCTTTAACTTCGATTTTAGCTTTGATGTTAGCCAAATGTTGATTTACGTTCAAGTTGTTATAAAGGATCGTACTAAAATTGGAAATTCAGGCGAAAACATGTTAGTATCAATATCGTTTACCGCATTACCCTAAGATTCTTACCTGACTAAAAGGCTATCCAATAGTCTGTGAGTATAAACTTGTGAAGCATTACTCCGAATTATTTACGAATTATTTCATGATATTTGCACAAAAAAAAAAAATTAAATAAAATCTTCATTTTTAGATACTTCTGTCGATGTAGACAAGGCTTTATATACTACGTAAGATCTTCTGCCAAGTAATAGAACAAAGACCTTGAAATAACTAACCAATTTCAAAGTATCTGCTATACGTTCTAAATACGTAGTAAACGAACATTTGTATGCATCTATGTGGGACATAAGCAACTATAAAATAATATACTCATAAAAAATTATTGAAGTATCATGAAAGTATAGAACAACAGAAATGCGTTAATGCAACACAAATAGGGCTGTTGTTATTGTTGTTGTTGTTGTTATTATTATGGAAACGATCATTATCTTTCCATGGCGTCCTGTCCCGCCTAAAATGAGCCCATCGGCCAGGTAAGCGGGCGGGTGGAAGCCAAAGAGGCACTCGCCACTGTCCTTAGCGTAATTCTGTTTCGCTAGCGGCACCAATCTCAGCTGAAACCAACAGACCGGTAGCCGACATTATGGCGTGAGGGTACCATCGTGGCCAGCTAGAGCTAGGAAAAAACATACTGCCCGAGGACAACTAGAGGAAAAGAAAAGCGGTGCAAAAAGCAAGACTGAACTCCAATAAAATGGTGAAAAAAGGACAAGCGGAATATTATATTGTTATTTTTAGAGAGGGCTGATTCACTGTGACTCGCTAGCGTAGATTTCAGGATGGGTAGGCAAATTCTAGCACGGTGCCACGGAAGGCCTCGCGCTATGAATAGGCCGGAGAAAAAAGCTGGGCTGGCCGAAGAATGACCCTTACAGTAGTTAGCTCAGCAGGGGCAATAATGAAGCCGTTGTTGAAGGAAAAACTATCCCATCATTGTTACCCTGTAGCCATTGCTTACTTCCTCATCTACTCAAGCTCGTTATTCGCTTTACGCGCGAAACCATATATAAATGAAAGCTCTTTATCAAGATATTCCAACCTCTGGGTCATTTCCTCTTTTACCCTCAAGCATGGTAGCTTAAAATACGACTAACGTAAAGAAATTTAATTGTCGGTACTAATATTTCTTCTAAAAAATGTGCACTTATGGGTACTACTCTCTTGGACTGGAACATTTTTAAGCTTTTTAAAGGACGCTTCTATTGGCTACCATCTTTTTTTCGTAGACTAGGACTCACTGGCGAGCTTGACATACTTTACAATGTAAGCTACATATGGAAGCAGCTGCCCTGGTCGGACCGTAAGTCCTACGGCACTAGGAATGAAGTTTTGCCATCAACGAAGCAATTAAGGTATATCCAGACTTATTAATCTAGAACTAGCCGAGGCACAGGAGAACGTAACTCTGAGTTTGATTAATTGTTTATTAGTTTCAACAAGTGCGAATCTTTGAAAAAGAAGCTGCAAGATGCTTGCTGTCCGGCGTATATTTGTTAGGGGAAGCGATTAGAGGAGATATTGCACATGGAGATACAATCTCCATACGATACAGATCCAACAGATATGTTATAGTATGTTATCGGATCGGATTCGGCAGGAAATGCTACGTTCTAAATTGATAGATTCGTACGACGGAAAAGTGTACGTGTGCAAGACGTACATCATTGCAATGTCCTTCCTTAATACAGTTATTAAAGTGTTTGGGAAGGTACAGCTGCGTTGTTGGGACATCTTCAGTTCATTTGCTCTGTTGCCCATTCCGCTGCATGGCCTTAATCTGGCTTTCGTTGAGAAGACCACATATTCGTTCTGTGTTTCTTGAAGCTAGAAGGGTATCTGAAGGCACACGAACATACAAACAGAGCACTTATATATTTCAAATAATTTGAGAGAAGCAACATGGAGCCTATAGAACCTTTTCATGTAGCACAACAGGCTGCCAAGAAGCTATCTAGAACTTAACAAATCTGATTCTACCGTCTAGATAAGGTTAACATGTGATTACATCAAGGGTATGCCTTAGCGCAGTCGTATCTATTGCACATACTAATCGAACTGATCAAAGAATTTACACTCAAACTCTGCATGGATCATTACGATATATGCCGTCGTAGATTTCAAACGAATTGCTTCTGTGATTTCTGACATACATTGAAAGGATTCAGGCTGTCAGAGAGTTGGCAGACGAGTCTAGGTGCAGAAGGTTTGAGCAACACACCTTGCTAGGGAGCTCATGAATACAAAACAGTACAGATAATGAAGATTAGGTTGATAATATCATCGCTCGCTGAGAGTAGTGGCTTGAAACCTGTATTTCTTTTAGTTCATGTAATTAGAACATTTCAGTGTAAGAAACACTGAAAACATGCAAAAAGGATCTGCGGGCTAAATGTTTTGACTCGAGCAATTCTTTTCTGGGAATAATCATAATCCTATATATATATATATATATATATATCCTGTGTAGACTTACAGTTAGCCCTTAGAAAAATTGCTGTTGCTAGAAAGTTCCCTATCTGTCCTATACCCCCCTTTCCGGCAAAAAGAGTTTGGTTTGGAAACTAGTATAGATGACGCGGCTAATAGTAGATCACTTTGTCGCAAACAAATACGATGACCAATATTTTAAAATTAATATCTCGTGAGCTAGATGCTTTACGCTAATCCAGCTACCTTGATGCTCCTGGAGAAAAGATCTACCAAATAAAGGTGTTTGGTTTGACAAGCCCTTCTTGTTATATAGGCAAAATGTACAAATGATTGTCAATAGCGTGAACTTCGTACATCAAATTACCATCTCTTCTGCATAAGATGATAAGCAAAAAAACCCATTTAATATGACGCTGTTAATTCTGAACACGGTAAAATACCAATTTTCCCATCTGTGGTAGTATGTTGCAGGGCAATAGAAATATCATATCGATTGCTCGCATCATTGATAGAGCCGCGATTGGAAAACATCTAGGCGTTGCCGCAAAGTCTTGTAGCGTCTATTTCCCCTTTATCAGCTCCAGCAGGGTCGGCTAGTGCCTGCAAACAAGACACTATAACCTATATTGAGTGAACCGATTACCGAGATACGTCGGTTTCATTACATCTGTTCAGAAGAGAGTCGGTAACGTGATTGGACGATAAGCCTGTCGGCCTTCTGGCCGAAAGGTGCACTTCATCCACACGGAGACTTTTGCACTATTGAGAGACTCGAACTAAACTATTCAAGCTTTCCCTGGATTTGTATGTGTCTCAATTCAACGCCGCAGCCTTAAAGGCCTTATTGGAACCGGTACTTAACTCCACAGAGACTGTGGTTTGACCAAACCCCTTGACCTTCCCCCATTCCGGTCTGAAGAGAAGGACGAGAAATCTGCGATGCATGCGCCAGGCCAAACTGATACACAGATTTACGACGTCCCCTGGGGCCATCTACACGACAAGGGC